GGCCAGAGCCCCGCTTGGGGATCGCCCCGTGTGTGAGGCTGGGAGCTCTCGAAGCCTGGGCGAGAGACCGGGCCGCGGTGGGCTGGAAAGTTGCTCCGGGAATGAGGCAGGCGAGGCTTATGATGGATGGGCCCGCCCTCTCTCGGACCAGGGAGCTGCTTCAACTGACCAGGAGGGAGTGTAGAGCACTAACACGGGCCTACACAGGACATTGCAGGCTTATGAGGCATCTTTGCTTGCGAGGCTTTGGAGACGACCCGGAGTGTAGGTGGTGCATGGAAGGGGAGGAGACTCCGTATTATCTGCTCACCGAGTGCCCTGCTTTGACATGGGCATGATTGGGAGTCTTCGGAACGGCCCAGATCGATCCGGACTCAGTGCACGGTATTGGGTTAAAGGAGTTGCTGACCTTCTATAGGAGGGGCGGCATTCTGGACGCCCTCTAGAGCGGCCTGGGGGCACAACGGGCCCATCTGGTGGCCTAAGTGCTTGGATGCCCGCGAGGGCGCCCCCCCTTTAATTCCAATACCAATACCAATGTGTCAGGTCTGGTTTCAAGTTTAACGAAAATATTTGAAAAATCATTAAAACAGAAAACGGTAGATTACTTAATAATAAAAATAAATAAAATATTATTTTTATGAAATTTGTTTATTTTGTCAAATAAGTTGCTTATTGATAAAATATATTTTGTTACAATTTGGACTTCTTTTTTTGTGTCGTACGCACTCTTCAGGAACATTTGTTTTGTACATGACACAAAGTCTCATATCATTCACAACATCTTCTTGGCATAAATAACAATACTTCCGTTTTCTTCTATTCATCACCGCCGTACTTTCTTTTATTTTTCTGAACGCCTCTTGACTCTGACACGTTTTTCTTAAACTTTTGTTTTAGTCCCTGTGATTTTTTAAATACTTTTTCTCTCTTTTGTCTTATTTTCTTGATTCTGTTCGTCGGAGACACCTGGAGTCAATTTTGGTTCTTCAAACGACGGTTTGGTGACTTCTTGTGCACGATAATTTAAAGATATCTTCCGAGCTACCTTGATTTCTCTGGTTTCCAATTCCTGTGTACCTAGAAACTAGGTGACCAATCTGACATAACTTCTGAGCTTGAAGTATCATCTAGGAAATGGTCTTCATCAGAACTTTCGGAAGTACTATCTATGTCGCTGAGTTTCCATTTATTTCAATTTGGAAGTTCAAAAACCAGCCACAACGTTAGATGCGTTAGTAGCTTTTGGCCACACGTTGGAAGATATATAAAGCGAATTTATTCGAAATTATTAGATCATGTTCATTTGGCCAGTAATTCATGCGGCGTATTGCTCGATAGACAAAATAGGGAGGCATCATGAGACTCAGCTGCATCGACTATCAGTGCGTCGTGGAATATTAAACTCTTTCTTTCTTTCAGACGTTCCATCTGTAACAGCTTATATGGCCTTTGTCATTGGAATTTCGGTCGATAAGCCTCTCCTCTCAGCCATTTTGAGTTCATATTTATCGACTTGAGAAGAACTGCAAATAGCATGCAACACGTTTGGTAAACTTTTTAAGTCACTCTTTTATTAACGACTCGCTCCGCTCGTACCAAATACACTCGTGACACTTGCTACATAATATACTATTTTCTACGACCGTTAGTTTTTGGGTTCGTTTTTGCAAAACAACGCGAACACATAACCGTCAGAAATGACAAACGTCAAAATTCAAGCCCTGCGGTAATATCTCCGAAAACACCCGATTGCTCCCAAATCCCTACGGAAGTGTCCGAAGTGGCTCCGATCAGTGAGAAACGAAACTGACGTGGTAAAATGACACTTTCCGCACTCCGGATCGAGTATAATTAGATCTTTGGGTTTCGTAATGCCGTCTCTTATCAAAATAATCAAAAACAATGGAAAGTTTTTTTCAAAACTATACAAAGTTACGTCTTTTCACCAGTGCCAGTTTGCATTGAACTATTAAAAAGAAACATTATTCAAAACTTTTATGGAATCAATAAAAGCTTTGAGCAAATAAAACTGACACAAGAAATATCGAGCGGTTTCGATAAAATGCAAGTTTGCGCCGATTTTTTGTGCAAATGCAATTTGGGATTTTATGAAGGCTTGTTCGGCGGCTGTAAATATTATTGACTTAACTGTGATCTTTACGGTACCGTTGGGCCCGAAATCTACATAAAAACGATGCTTGTAAAACACGCTAAAAGGTCATTCGCCGATCGCACTCAATCAGCAAAGTGCAGTTCTGTTCCACTCTGTATCTCAAAAACAAAGCCAAATATCTTTAATAGTAATCGATACCGCGCAATAAAAAACAAAAATCGACTTTACAGCATGCATTTACCAAATTTCTTAAATATATCTAACAATTCTAGCCGTCTTTTTCTATTGGCCTCGCTTTTCTATCACGGCCTTCCCATTCCAGTTTAGATCGAGTTCAGTGTGTACGGTACACGTTATCCCGTTTATTATGAGAATGTAAAAAAATATCAAAAAAACTTAGACAAAAGTTGTTCTTTAATTTAAAAATATTATATTGCCTGAACATGCTGTGTTTGCATTTCCGTGGACAAATAATAAATTTCTTATTTTAATTTAATTCATTAAAATTAATTTAATATTTTGAATCTTATGTCAAAAGGGACGTTTTGTAGGTCTAAATATATCTACCGATTTTTCAGACTGAATGCATTTGTTATATATTTGGGGATGATTTCCTTATAAAATATTATAACACTTTCAATATACCGGGTACCCAGAAACTAAGATTAAAAATTTAAATGAAAAAAATAGTTAATGGCGTTTGATATTTAAAAGATAATCATTTTGCGTAAGGTTTCCTATTTCAAAAATTTGTAGATTTCGAAAATTTGTATTAGTAACAAAACTGACCTAGAAGACCACGGCACGGCATAACAGAAACATCAAAAACACAAAAGTTTATAAATTTGTCTGACGTCTAAAAATAGAACCAATTTTATCAAAAACATTTAGACATTTGTTGGAAAACATCCAGATGGACGAAAACCTCATTTATCCAAAAAAATCGAAGAAAGATTGTGTAATTTCTTTAATGTTGTAAAAAATAACTCATCATTTTGAGTTGTTTTGTTAACTATTCCAATTTTCTCTTCTCTCTTTAGAAAGACGTTTTAAAGACATGAGATCATTTTCTTGTGTTAAAATAACCATAACAATAAAAATAACTGTTAGGTGGCATGAAACTGTCAAAAATTGTTTTTCAAACCCACTGCAAACCATAGTTACATTTCTGTAGTCCCCGCATTTTTTCAAAGAAAAAATATGTTACCGCTAATATTTCAAAGTCTACATGTTTTTAAAAAATAACCATTTTTTAAAATGATAACATTATAAAATGCGCTGTTTCCACGGACCACTAAAGTATAAGGAAATCAAGCCCAAATATGTAACAAAGGAAAAATTGATAGATATATGCCAACGTCACTTTTGACATAGAATTCAAAATGTTAGAAACGGCAAAATATTATCATATAGCTTCTAAAGATATAGAGGCCCTGCCTATGCGGATAATACATAAGGCAACTATGAAAAATTTTAAGCATTTTTAGCATTTTGGGCATTCGAAAACCAACATAACCCCTGACAGATCGTCACTAAGTTAGGATCTGACTTTGTTCGGAAGTATTCTCTCAAAATATATTCAGATTCCATTAAATCTTGGGACAAGAGTTACGTGGATGGATATAGCTGTTAGATTAGTTAAGTGGGTGAAAGAAGCATGCGCTGAAGATCATTCCCATCTCTACGAAGATATCATTATCACCTGAGGCGTATCAATTACCGGTCCAGGGTCATTATATTATCTGAGACTTTTATGCATAAAGTATATTGCAACAAGGTTAGTTTAAGAATATTGTAGCAATCTAAAAATAGTTTATGTTATAAATCAAATATGTCTACATTTTTCCAAAGAATTCGACACTATTTAATACTCTATTTAAAATTGGAAAGTTGATATTTGACCAAGGAAATACAATCACATATATAATAATATTTTTGGAGTATAAATGAATTTGAACAATTTTGTCCTATTTTTTTCTTTGATAGTTTTAACAGATTCTGAGATAATAAACGCGTCACATTTCACCAACCACAAAATATTCTGCTTTTTTTTTTAAAGAAATTTAACAGTTTTGAAACTTGTATTTATTTATTCCATTGCTCTATATCAGAATTGTGCACTTAGCCAAAAATTACTACATATTATATAGAAAACCTGGTTTTGAATTTTAAGGTCGGGGATAACCTGGAAACGTTATCCGGATTTCCTGTATACCTGATTCAGTATTCAATGATTCTCCATATAGAAAAGTCGATCATTCGATTCTGAACTATAACAGAAATGTAATAGCGGTGTATTATCAATGCGCATTTAATATTGCACATACACTAATTAACCTCTTGTAATAAATTAATCTAGGCAAAGAAATCTGTATTTTTCATGGCTTTATGTGACATATATTTCTGCAAAGCTAATATCAAGCCTTATAAAATAATTAAATACAACACCAAAAATGAGACACACTCTACTTGGTGTTGAAATTTTAATCTATTTGCTGCCAAAATTCAAAAGTAATCGTTTTTAAAGTATACTAATAAAATGTTTAGTAAAAAGCTTGTGATATAAATTGCTAAGGTAGTGTAAGCTGCAGGAAAAAAAAATGAAATTGCACTAAATATAAAAGCGCAACGTTTAATTCTAAGTGGAGGTTGTCATCTATATGAATAAAAGAAATAAAAAAGACCGTCGGTAATTGAAATAATTTATTCACCAGTCAACGAGTACACTTTATACAATAAATAACCATCAACAGTTAGATCCATATGTACATTATATACAACGAATTCGATCGACTATTCCGTTACGATCGTAACTAAAAATAAAACACAGTTTATACAGAAAAGGAAAATATGTGTTGAATTCTTAACCCTCGCTCGTCTCGACAGACGACGCAACGTCACCTGGTTTTCGATCGTACCATACTCCCACTTCGTGCAATACTGTTATCCTAAACTTCTGTCTTGTAAGGCTTGAAAAGTTTCGGTTTGTCCACTTCGAGCAACTGCGTCTGTACTGGCGACACGTTGCTGGCCGGCATTAGCAAATTCTCGCTAACTGGGGGACTCAGACTTATCTCCGAACGGTGCGAATCGGTCGGTGATACTTTCGACTGAGGCTGCTGTTGTTGATAGCCGTACGCCCTATCGAAGTTCAGGTTCAAATTCAACCCTTGGGGTAGGTGACCTTGTGGCAATGACTGCGGGGGCGGCGCGCCGAAACCTACATTCGCGGGATGATGCATCAGGCCCGCGTTAGGCATGTGTATACTCGTCGGAGGACCTCCGAATCCTGGATACGGGCTGTACCTGGCGTAATGAGGAGCGTAGATCGGCGGCGGTGGAGGGTAGTGAAGAGGCAGACTGGAGGCGGCCGCTTGAAGCAAAGAAGCGGCGAACGCGGGATCGCTGTACACCGCGGCGTATGGCCATGCGATCGCCATCCGTTGCCTTTTGTCCTTCATACGTCGGTTTTGGAACCATACCTGAAACAAGCAGAGCTAGATTAGCCATTTGTCATGTGTAACATTGAAAATAAAAAATTTATAGTAGGAGAACGGCCACTAACTTTTTCCACCACTAGGAGCAATCTTAGCCTTAGTAAAATGTACGCCATTAAAGAAGTTTAGTTCCCCGAATCCTGGATGCAGACTGTATCTGGCACAAAGGTGTTAAGAAAGCAATTAGATGGATATAAGGCGTAAACTCAGTATATTGTGCCTGCACATTGCGCTCAGAACAAAGTTTGATTAGTAAACCTGTTAAGATGATGATGACATAATCATTAACCAAAATACATACATAATATACAAAATATAATTGAAGTATTAGTATAAGTATTAGTAAATATACGTTTTAGATATGGCGATGATTGATCTATACCAAAAATTAAGATGTTCTTTTTTAAATGTTATAATGCAACTTTCAATCATTTTAGAAAAAGTCAAACGGTGAGCTATTTTAAATTATCAAAACCAAACTGCTTCCCTAGAAATACCGTAATATCTTTTGAGCAACAGGGTTTTTCATTTATAAACCTCGTAGGTAATATTTTGTTGAATGGAATGTTACCTCTTGCGGGTAAATTTTGTAAATAAAACAGCGTACTAGCAGAAAAAATGTATCATGTATCATATGACACCCAAACTTAGGCTTTTCTTCTTAAAAATTGCTTCGGTTAACAAATATTGAACATTTTCACTTTTTTTTTCTTGTCATAAAAATGGAAGAATAAAACGTAGAAAAATGCTTATTATTATTATTATTATTAGAATAATTATTTTTTATTAAAGAATCTGTAATTACCAGGTTTTCGACTCGCTCTGTATATTAAACTTAGCTCAAGGATATAAAAATAAATAATAAATAAATTTCTTCGTATGTCTTGTTGTTGATCTCTTTTGCCACCTAAGGGTTTTTAAAAAACAAGACGGCGAATCAACAAAACGAATAAATATCGATGATGCACGACCGCAAAAACATTCTTTTACGATGTTATTATCCGGTACCCACGTAGACCAAACAATTTCAAGAAAATTAAAACTAATTAGTACCATAAACAAGGAACAATGCGCGTCTTATATCTCTGAGCCACCGACCGCCTCTTCTATGATCATTTCGGGCGTTTAACACGTCATAAAAAAGCTGACGCTCCCGCTTATCGCGCGCATTACGCCACTCGACGCGTATTTAGGGCTCGGACTTAGTTAACTGACTCCCTGAACATTTCACATTGGACGGAGGCCGCAAACTACGGCCAAGTCCGGCCCTGTGTCGCTTTCTTCTGACTGGCGGTTCGTTTATAAACGGCGGCACGTTTTTGATGTTTTTAAAAGCACCATTAGTGTTTTATTTGAGCCCGGGAAAATGTGCTAATTGTCGAGCGTTGGTTATCGCATATCGTCGCACTGCTGGGGTGATCAGAACTTACTCTATAAGTGAATCGGAAATCAGCACGAAAAGTAGTCAAGACAACTTACAGATTCGTAATTGTTAAATTTCGCAATCGACTAGTTGGAAAATTAAATGCTATTACTGGCTGTGAGTTAAGGGAAATGATGTATATGTTTATTGTATTATATACTTGTTTTTGTACATTCCTCTTAAAGTCGGAATAACTATACTTGTGTTCTCTTCATTTTTTTAGCTAGGGAGGTATAAGCTTATTGCTAATGTATTTTTCTATTCAAAAAGAAGTGGATGATTTAAAACCAAATACTGGATTCAAATTCTGCAGCAATGCCAACTAGAGAAGACTGTCATAAAAAAAGTATTTCAAAGTAATATATAAAAGGAATTATTTACCATGCGCTTTCTACCACAATAGATAATATAAACGCTTTTTACACTAACCCCCTCAGAGTTAGCAATAGTTTCAAGAAAAGAATTTGCAATTATCTGGAAATAAATGACATCTCGAAAATTTATTGTAAATACATAAATGTTTTAGTCAGTTTTCACTAGTCAATTGGCGTTGTGCTATTTTTTAATAAAATTTTGAATAATCCTTATGCATTATAATTGTTATTATCCATGTTAACTACCTAGTTGTTGCACCAGTTAATTTTTAAACATGCCACAAATTGTAATTCGTACCGGTCTAATTTCTGAATACAACTTGCACCAATGAGTCATAAAATGTCTTAATTCACAGACCATGGAATAAACAGACCATAGGGAACTAGATGCAATACGACCCAAAAAAACATAATTTCGCGTATTCTGCCAAGAGTTAGCTATGGAGCGCCTTTAACCATCCGATAAGTAATTAAAAAGTACATAGGGTAAATGTGGGTGAGATGCCGCAGTAGGACAGATGCCGCGGTGTACGTTTGGCAACACTGCGACTTTTTAAAAAGGCGCTTGTGTTTCCTTACAATTAGTTGATGGCTAACCTTGAGAACTCCATTACGCCGGTTGAAAATAAACGATTTTCTCAAGAAATATTTCGTGTGTTTGTTAAAATAACGTTCAGGTAAGTTACAAAATTTATTCAGTGTTTCTTGTAAGTTAAAATTATACCTCTAAACGAATAAAATTTGGTTTGCAATTAACTTATAGGAGATTTAGGATAAGTAAGGTTATGTTACCACCGGGTTTTAATTTCGTGGATCATAAGTGTCACAAAAAATGTGCTGCGGCATCTCTCCCATACATTTGGGATAGACGCAGCAGAAGTTTGTGGTAGAGATGACGCATTAATTCGATGTTTTATTTTAGTTGGATATGCCTCGCAAATATAAACGAAAATCTAATAGAGGAAGATGGACTCAAGAAAATTTGGTTACAGCCATAAATTTAGTACAACAGGATAATATTCCAGTACGAGAGGCTGGTAGAATATGCAACGTGCCAGAGCGAACGCTAAGAAGAAGGTTAAAAAACAATAATTTTGAAAAGGGTGTACAAGGGCCTTCGTCATCTCTTGGCCAAGAATCCGAAAAAAAGGTAGTAGGGCATATTAAAGCTCTTCAGAAAGCAGGCTTTCCTCCCACTGTAAGAACCGTAAAACAAATTGCCTATACCTTGGCTCAACGTTTGGGGTTAAAACACAAATTTAACACTGAAAAAGAAGAAGCTGGAGATCACTGGTACCGATCGTTCATGGAAAGGAATCGTGATTTGAGTTTAAGAAAGGCAGAGGGACTATCAACTGCAAGGGCGGAGGGTATGAATAGAAAAGAAGTTGAAGAATATTTTAAACTTTTAGAAAGCATTTATGAAGCTAACGATGTCTTTGATAAACCAGGTCATGTCTTTAATGTTGACGAGTCTGGCCTTCAGTTAAATAATGTGCCAAGTAAAGTTATCGCAGCAAAAGGTAGCAAAGAAGTTCACACAGTAACGTCTGGGGAGAAAGGGGAGACAATCACCGTTGTAGCTTGCTGTAACTCTGAAGGAAATTTCTTACCTCCCTACTGCATATTTAAAGGGGTAAATAAAAAAAAGGAATTTGAAGACGGCATGCCACCTGGTTCGGTTGTTGTTATGAACCGCAAGTCTGCTTATGTTAATAATGAGCTATTTTTTGACTGGTTGAAAAATCATTTTGCCCCTCGCAAGCCACCAGGGAAGACTGTTCTAATTCTTGATGGACATGGATCGCATATGAGTCTAGATTGCCTCGAATTTGCGACAGAAAATGATATTTCTTTGGTATGTTTGCCCAGCCACACCACACACTATTTACAGCCACTCGATCGTAGTTTTTTTAAACCGTTGAAAACGTTTTTTTATCAGGCTTGCGACCAGTGGATTAAAACACATCAAGGCAGACGAATTACTCGTATGCAATTTGGCACATTGCTAAGTAGTGCTTGGTCTCGCGCAGCTACAGCTGGAACGGCTATTAATGGTTTTCGTGCTACTGGAGCATTTCCACTTAATCCAGAGTCAGTTCCGGACCACGCTTTCAGCGTATCAGACCTGCACGTAGCTCATGCACACAATGTTGAAGACACTGCAACTAAAACCTGCAATACCGAAAAAGAAAACGCTGCGCCGAATCCATCATTAGAAATCAACGTTAAATCGCAAGAAGCTCAACCTCAACCTTCTACTTCGGCTAGCACTGATATCACTCCTGGCAAAATGTTGCAACAAATATCACCCATTCCTATTCTTTCTAACACTACAAAGCGCAGAAAACAGTCGGCTGCACATCTAACAAGCCCCAGTTATATTGAACACAAAAAAGGGAACAAAACTAAAACCAAAAAGGACAAAAAGCTAAAAGTTAAGTCTTTAGCTAAAAAAATAAAACTTAAACAAAAAAAAGATTTATCATCGTCTTCTGAGTCTGAGGAAGAAATGCCAATTTGTTCTTCAACCAATGACTGCAGTGATATTGACGAAAACGAATGTGTGGAGTGTCTTGAAAAATACTGTTTAACAAAATCACGTGCTGATTGGATTCAATGCGTTCGCTGTGGATATTGGCTACACGAGACTTGCTCAATATACAAAACCACTTGCAATCGATGTGGAAGGCTTTTATTAAAAGCCGATCAAGTTAGAAGAAAGATGTAATGTTATTTTTCGTAAGCCATCTCTCCCATGTACTATGCGGCGACTCACCCACGTTATGTAGGAGAGATGGCCAAATACATGGGATTATAAAATATATTTTCTTAGAATACTGTTTTATTTAAATTGGTTTTGTTACATATTTACTTTTAAATAAATGTTCTAAAAGTAAACATGTGTTTTTAATTTTATTTTATCTCGATAGGTGTAACAATTATGAAAATCTATAAAAATGTGCGGCATCTCTCCCACATTTACCCTAACCCAGTTAAGTGAAAAAATATGACCTTCCACTTAAATTAATCAAGTTGTAATCACTTAACTTACCTAAGATGAAAAGTCTTTTATTACAGATTTCACTTACATGCCTTAAATACTTATTATATATTTTAGAAATTGAAATTAGATAACAATGAAATTGTTTAGAAAACCTTAAGGTTAAGATTATCGAAACACATTACAGTCGTAGAATTCAAACATGCATAATAAACAACGGGTTTCAATTTAAAAAATACAACTTTCATTATTTTAACACTTTTGGATATGAAAGTCATTTTAAAAAGTTATTACAATCGGACACAACCATTGCTGTTTGCCGTTTCCAATTTTGGAAGCAAATATCCCAAATTATGAAGCATTGCATAGACATACCGGTAAACATTTGTTTTAAGTCCTATTTTCGTTCGTTGAATTTTGATCAAAGGCGACAAACAATGTTTGTTCTTTTTGAATCAATAAAAAATTGCCTGTGGGGTTTTTGTGAACTTTTCTGATTGAAATTTAATTTTATTTTTTGTATTTATTGAATTAATCCTCAAGATTATTCCAACACGTGTATATGCTTGTTGTTTTCTTTCCGTCGATAACAAGAAAAGTCGGAAAATAATTCAAGGAAGAAAAGAAATTTGCATTTATAATTTTAGTAGTAAATTCACATACACTAATCCTGTTTAAATTAATAATAATGAGACTCAGCATGCTTGTTAGAAGAAAAATTTACTATATGTAGTACCTTGATTGTGCTCTCGGGAAGGTTCAGTTGTGCAGCCAGTTCAACCCTTCGCGGTCTGGATACGTAGTTCTCTTTGAAGAACTCCTTCTCCAGCCTGGCCAGTTGCTCCCTGGTGAAGGCGGTGCGATAACGGCGAATATTGGGATCGTTGCTTGAATTTGGACTACCCGTCGAGTTTTGCTTCTGCAGATCCGTACCGTTTACTGGGGTAACGCAGTCTAAAAATAACAGATCAGGGTCTTCAATCTAATACCGTTATGTGACAAGAACACCTAAATAAAAAATAAATAAATATAATAATAATAAAAGGTTTTTTATTATTCTCATGATTAAATTCCAATCATTATTTTTATGTATTCAAAGCTCTAAAAGTTCCGATTATATAACTTATCCACAACTATGTTTTTAAAATTCCAGGGTTTTAACGATGATTTTTTAAAACCTGTAAATATAATTTGGCCTAGGGCGTAGATTTTTTGAGAATGTTTGAAAAAAAAAATCCTACAAACAGAGAATGAATCAAAACAATATTCTGTGTTCAATAAATACGGTTAATAGCCAAAAAATTAAAATACTCAGAATGAAACCTATTTTTTCTAAAAATTTTCTAAAAAGTTGAATTCATTGAATGAGTTTTTTTTATTTTTTAACGTGCAATGGTGACACTGTTTTAACGTCATACTAAAAATAAAACAATTCTTTTTCCTTAAGAAAATGTTCCATATTATGCATACTCTTGGCCAATACTTGGTTTTTGTCGTAAAAAAAAAAACCAGATGTGCCGCCGAATTTATTTATTTATTTTATTAGCTTATTGAAAAACTTTACAAACACAAATAATCTCAGTAATTACATGCAATGTCGGTGAGTCAACGAGACTAACTATTAAGACTAATGTAACTAAAAAGGTCTACCTGGACCTCACTAAGTACCTGATACTAAGTAATTTTTGGTTGTTTTGTATTCATAAATCAATTTTTGACAAGTATATTTGAGACATTTTAAATTTAATACATAATATAAAAATATCTCAGCTGCTTATTCCTTTCTTTGTTAAAGAGATTTTATATTAATGCTATCGATCAGTATTGTATATGTGCATTTCTTCCACTGACATTAAAATTTACGAGGCATATCCGTTATATGACCCGTCATTGTATAAGCCAACTAATGGTATTTTATAACTTTAATCATCGGTTTAACCGTTCTGAAATTAGTAATTTTTTTAGAAAGTTAAGTTATTATCTTCTATATATTCTTATCTATAGTATCAACTTAATGGGTATAACTTTTATTTTAAATTCCTCAAAGAAGCAAATTTGCAGGAAAGCTCTTCTTCTCTACAATAAATCCAAAATCCTATGTTAATGTCAATACCGAATCCACAAAAATATCTATCAAATATATATATAACAAATAACATTTTTTTTAAACAAGTTTTGCATTTACCCAAATGTTTTCTTTCTTTTTAAATGGGTACGGGAGTATTGAAAACGAACCTTTATTCAAAAAAATAAAAACAAAAAAGTCGAGCAAATGTTGGGAAAACGCAAAAATTAATTTTATTTTTTAAAAAAATTATATATACCTAATAATGTAAATACATTCGACATTTATTACTACGGAATCTTGGTTCTTGGATATATTTACACAAAGTGATTTAATGCAGAGAAAAAAGCTTTCTGTAGATTTGCTTTGACAAATTTGGAATTAAAAAAGTTTTCTTTGATTAGTTAATAAAATGACACATATAATTTATATTGATTTTAAAGATAAAGTAGTAAGTTTGGTGTTCTGTTATTAAAAGCAACTCCTACCCTATCCTGATATCCAAAGTCACCAACCTTATTTTAAATCATATTCTAGATAAAAGGATCTTAATCGTTATGAGTTGATACCTAATACGCCGTCAAACCACAAGTAAGTAGGTATACAAGGATATTGAACAGATTGTAGGCGTTAATCAGAGACTGGCAGGAAGTCCTTGTGAGGTTGCGTTCAACAAGTACTTTGTTTTGGGTACTTAGCGATCAATTACCGCACATCCTCGAAATTAGGGAAGGAAGTCTAGACGCTCGAGTGGTCTTTGGCGCATGTTTCGAGTATACTTTTATGGGTTGACTCTTGCGAAAACTAAAACAGAAGTCGGAAGGAACCGAAAGGCCGCACCATAAATACCGGGTTGTTTGTTGGTGTTAACAAGATTCAAAATTGGTGTTTGTCGGCAGCGTGGCGAAGACGTCCAAAATTAGGGGTCGGTAAATTTAATGTTCGAGACCTTTTGCCTTAAGCCGTCGCATTGTAAATTTTATTAGGTATTGCCTTACAAAATAAGTAAATTCCACAATTACGCCTTTTCCCGAGAGATATTTGCTATAAAAGGTGCTTAAGTACGGGCTATAAGGCTGTTAAAGCGGGGTCCCTAAACAATTAAGCAAATTACAGACCGAATGTACACAGTGGGCTGGTGTTAAAAAGCTTTCTCCATTTGCCTGAGTCCTACTTTGATTTGAAATTGAAAGTTTGAAAAATTTGAAATGCTTAATGAGTGTAATTCAAATTGTAGCAAATTCTTAAAGGCGAGCTTATTTTTTTATTAAAAAATTTATAAAGGCCAGTGATAAAACGTGCCAGAATAAACAAATATTTATGAATGACAGTTAGTTAAGGGCAACAGATACTTATAACCAATATATTTCTAACCAATCACGTTAACGTTAACTATGACATCTGCGGCCAATATTTATGACCAGTTATGCTCAATAGGCGCGTTTTAGATAGATAGCTATTTAATGCATCAAAAAATAATTATAAAGTTTAGCAGTTTTCTGTATTCAAGCCAAACTTCTGGAAAGTAATTTTGTTATTGTTTTAAATGAATAGTTGCAATATAAACTTCTAAATAGTTCATTTTCTTTCAAAAGGCATTTCATTACCTATGGAATTACTTTTGGATTGGATCATTATTTATGAAGAAAATAGTCACAATTAGTCAGCATGTATGTGCTGGGTAAACCCAAATAACGTGCGACAGTACGCAGTGCATAATAATAAACTAAAGAAGAAATAGCACAAATTGATAATGCGCAAACATGTACAAAAGAAAATTCCAAAATGTATTTAAAGTTTTGCAATCTACGTTTGAAATAAAATTTACCATATCAAAAACTAGTATAAAAAATTGGTAATTGAATATTTGAATGATCCGGTTCTGAAATGTTTTTGGCATCCTGTAAAATTTGCTCTGAGATTTACTTGTATTATTATCTAAACTGAAAATAAATATTTGGATGAGTTGGGTTTACTCTCTAAGTGAACATCACTAGGGCCGAATGTTATACCAATTGGTATGCGAGAACGAGTGCGTGGGTTGGACAAAAGTTGCTTTGCGTGCAACGAAAGTGTTTGTTCTACACACAGATAGCGTTGTTATTAATCATTTTCAAAATGATTGTCGAAAGAAAATTTGTTTGCCGCGAATGGCTGCTTTTTACACGTCGATTTTCAAGCATTTTTGCTTACCTCTGCTGTACTGCCCGTGAGAGTTATCCGGGGACTGGGGCGGACTGGGTTGCACGTGATGTGTGTTATAGTGCGGGGGAATGACGTCCAGCACCACGGCACCGCCGCCGTTGGTTTCTTCAGCCTGCCTGAACACTTTAAAATTCTCGTGCATCATCACCGTTCACTAACGCACCACTGATTACCCAAATCGGCTCACCACACCTCGACCAAATTCGAAATTGGAATGACTCCTCCATACGGCGGAAACTCGTATTTAGACCAGCCGGCTGAGGAGTGGCTCGTCCGCCGATGCGGTTGGTGGACTCGGAAACGAGCCGTCATTGGTGGCTCCGCCCTCGAAGACTTAAACGCTTCGCCATAGAGTTGAGAATCCCACGAAGCATCCTTATTGACGTTTAGTACATGTCGGAAGGGATTAGCGTAAAATAGGGGCGTCCCGACGGGCGAGCCGCGTTATTAAACTTTTAATGAGGAATTGTTACGGCTCTATGCTACCGGGTGCGGAAGGAGGAGAGATGATGAGATTATGCGAGGGCGGCGGAAATGCCGAAAGACCGATTTTCCCGAACAAAAGTTTGGGGGCTTTTCGGATTTTTTTTCCGAAAGTTGCAAGAACAAAAAAATGTACGGGATGACGGGGTACATCGTATTACTTGCCATTGAAAATAATTTTCATGTGGATACAATGCCTACGAATTTTTCAAGGGCATTGGAACGAGTTAACCATAAGATATCTAAATGTTGGTTTTGCTGACTGTCTAGTTCCTTTTCCCTCACATCTTGCACCTGTTCTCTTTAATTTATTTATTTATGACAATGCCAAATTTGTTATTACAACATATAGATTAAAAATATCCCAAGATCATAAAGTTATGGATTAGGATACTGTTATTAGTTTCGTTGCATTTAAATACTCTAGATATTCTGATCTATGTTTCATTTTCAAGTTATTGTTGGGTGATATTGAATGTAGTTTTGTTTTTCCAACATTTAATTTTAAAATTAATCATATAACTCTTTATCTATCTATTGACTTAAATTTGATTGATTGATTCAAACATGTCTGCTAGCGAGAAATGTCTGACCTAGTTAGTTTGGTTCGTCGAGTTCTTGTAAGTATTAATAACTAGTTTCTAATTCACTTCCTTTGTAAAATGGTGTAACTGTTAACATTAAATAAATAAACTATTTTTAAAGAAACCAAACGTCGTAATTTTAGGCAATAAATAATATATCAACACAAAAAAGTAAGACTATCAACAAAGTCTGTAGATCATATATTTCGTCTGGTTACTATGTGCACAGCATTATTAAGTTCACATACATGTTATCATAACCTATGGATATTTTGCACACTAACCAAAAACATAGATTAATATATTGATATATACGTAGATGCCATGTTTTCAATGGGATTACATGAGTGAACTTTTAAACAAATAAGGACCAGTTAAATGGGATAAAAGTTGGTTTATTTAGATGCATAATGCTCTATGTTAATAAAAATCAATTATCAGAGGTGTGAGCTAAAAAACTAGAAAAAAAAAGCAAATATTTGCAAAAACCATTTTCATTTTAGCATTTTTTATTGCCAATCCGACAAGAAAACGTTATATAGAAGTTGTAGTTTGGAAATTACGTTTTCTGGGAATTCATTTGTTTTATTTGGCATGGTATCAGAAAGTCATTTTGAACTTTTGTACTACCCTTTTTTTGTCAAATTGTAAATTAATGCATTGAGAAAGAAAATGGAAATATTTACAGGTACCTAAACCCAATATAATTGCTTCTCACAATAATTCTTTTTTAGAAGGTCATTGCTAAATATGAACATGTAATTAAAAATAAATCTAAGTAAGTAAGTGCGATAAATTAAAACAGTTTTAAATTATGAAAGGGTAGATGTAAGTATGTCAGCTCCGGGGTAGGTAGACAGGTACCGGGATTGTCAAATCGTCATCGGAAGGTAAAGCTATTATTATGCTTAACATGCTGTAATACTTAAACCCTAAACATTTCGGTCTCTTTGATCATCTTTTAATCACGCCGATAATGGCCATTGCCTTCATTTAATTATTTCAATCCCATATTTTAATTCTAAAATGGAATTCATAGTATTATTCACAACCTTGCAGGATTGCTTGATGTCCGATATTTGTTCCAATATTTCTATTTATTTCTATTCTATTATATCCATAAAAAAATTATGACAATTTTTATCCTTGAATCCATTGCGGCCTTTTTTTACTTTTTCTTAAAGATGCTTAAGGGCTTGACCACTTTTAAGTCATATGGTATATATGTTTTATATCCAAATCAAGCAAAATTAATCAAATTAAATTAAATATTTTCGACCTGTTTGTAAATTTCAGTTAATTATAAGGTCATGCTGAGAGGTTTAGAGTTTGTTTGTGAAGATTTTTTATAAAAAAAAGTTCATTCAAAACTGTCGAAACAACTTTTAGGTTATTTCAAATAAAAGAGCAAAATCGTATTTCCCTAAAATAACCCTAAAATAACATGCCGAAACTCAATTCAAGGCGTCAACTAGGAGCGATCCAATTTTTTCGGTCCCGTCACACATCACTCAGCGAATATTTTCCTGCTGTTTTGCAAAGTGTACTCGTATAAAAAGTATAGTATGATTGTTGATAAACTTCTTCAGTCCCTATTATTACTCGTTTATAACTTGTTTCATAATATAGTATTTTAAATTGTTTTTCTCTTTTAGTAATTTTATTGTCATTAGAACCAAATCCATCCTATTTATAGGGTGGTGTTTATCATGGGATGACACCTGAGCTCAGAATCTGTAATAGTATATTATGAAACAAGTGTCGTAAACGGTAGTGTTTAACGGCGAGTGTTTAAAAAACGACTGACTTGAAAAGTTTACCAAACGTGTTACATACTATACTTTTTCTACGACCGTTAGTTTTTGGGTACATTTTCGCGAAACAACACTAAATCGCTTATTGATATGATCGTCAGGATTAACAAACGTTAAAATTCAAGCAGTGTGGTAAAATCTCCGAAATCCGTGTTACAAGCAACTCACGTGATAAAGTGACGCTTTCCGCGCGCTAGATCGGTATATAATTTGATATTTTACAGGAGGGAGTAGAAAAAACACTTAGGGACAAAAGGTGTTGAGAAAGAGAATATTATATTGTTATGTATACAGCATGTTTGTATTTTCGTGGACAAGTAACAACTTTTTTATCTTAAATACATCATGCATACTTTATATATAACATCATATACTAAGGATTTGATTCCCTTGTAGAATAGCATGGACTTTAGTGGTGTGTATCAATATTTTGAAAATAAAGAAATATAGGGTGGTCAGAAACTAACATTAAAAATTAAAATGAAAAAATCGTCCAAAAAGTAGATAAGTAATAAATATTTGCAATGAAACATTTTCCTTTGTAAAAATCAGATAAGAAGATCCTCTAGATTCTACAAGCAAATGAATTACAAATATATAACAAAGTCTTTCAGTCAGAGAAATCCGCAAACACCACTTTCAACATCAAATTCGAAATATATCAGGAACGGAAAGACTTTAGTATAGGATATTGTTATTTAAAATAAGTTGTTGCTTGTACACGAAATTGCAAATAAAAGTATAAGTGAATCCAAACAACTTTCATTGACTTCCGCGGTCAGTTTAGTTGGACGTCTGTGGTGTTATCCCATAATAAACGGGTCACCCCACACAATCAATTAGATCATCATATGACATCGCGTCATTTAATGTCATTCCATGCGATTTGTTCTGTTTTTCGCGTTATTCTACTCGTTGGTCGCGATTAACGCTCAAGAAATCGTCGATCCGCAGTTGCTCGAAATAAACCAGCAAGATCCAATCGACCACTCGGAGAATGTCGACAACTACCAACTAGCCGATATTTTGGATGCCGCCCATTTAGAAAACGCCAGCATTTCCATCGATATCCTTCAGAAGCCCGTCGATTCAGCCCAAAGCTATGGAAAACCTCCAAGTCCCACGAGTTTCGAGATAAAAGCAGTCGTAAGCAAATGCGTGAGAAAGAACAAACTATGCGACGACCACCTCGAATACAGTCGATTCAAAACCAAGAGAAGAAAAGCGGAGAGCGGAGAGGAAAAACCAAGAACTAGCCCTTTGGAAATGTGCAACAAGAAAATAACCGTAACTTTAAAAGTTCTAAACGAAGGTGAGACGAATTGCGAAGTACAATACGTGGTGTTGGACAAAGCGCTCGACTCCACCACTGGGAAGAAAGGGAAGTTGTTGAACCCCTACGTGATGAAAATTAGACAGACGCCCGTTTTTCAAACGCACGGGCTGTTTTACGAAGGCTCCGTTAACGCGAGAGCGTCTGAAAAAGTGCTGAACAAGGACGTAGAAGGTTATACAGGTTGACCTATCTCTTCAATAATATTACCTTTATTATGCCAAATCTTTACAATACAATCACCGTCTATTATGGATTTCGTCAAGTCAATCAAAAATAGGTACACAGTACAAATGTTGATTCACGCTGAGTGTCATATTAGAACTTCTGGAGAACTAAATAGGCTTTTTTTTCTTCAAATTTGGCATATGGCCATAGTGCACCATGATGTACCTTTTTGAAATATTTACTCACCTGAAACTCGAAACAAAAAACAGCATTGGAAATTCAAATGTGTACCAGTATACGTTTTCGGATTTTGCGCAAATTTCTGAGTAATCTTTGTTAACATATCTCTTTTCCTTCGTTCTAATCTTTTTAAGTTTATGTAACGTTAGGTCTTGCTACTCTTTTTGGTGTTTATAACTTTGTAAAATTATTTTAAGCTTCACCTAAAACCGCTTTTTCTTGTAACTCATAGCGTTTTGCCCGCTTCTCAAACTGATTACTATTACTTATGTTGCTTCGCAATATTCCAAAAATATCTTTAACATTTTTTCTTTGGATATTTCAATTATTTGAAATTATAGACGCTGTCTCATATGAAACATCAATTTTTGATAACTAATTAACTATTAGTCTAAGATACACATTCTCCAAAAAAAAACTATAATTTAGTATTCATCTCCTATAGAATGTCCAGTTTCCCTTTAAAAATGCCTAATTTGGCTCATATCGTTCCGGTATAGGTATACGATGATAGTCGACTGTGATTTTTTTTATGTCGTTTGTATCCAAGCTGCGAAACTTCACGTCCTAATCGAAATGAAGATTAATCAAAATCCCGATTTTTTTGAGATAATTTGTTGATACGCAAGACTAATGGGCACATTTAGGTTGCAACTCAGAATCATCAAACCCAACCTGCGCGTCCACCAAATTTACCCCCGATGAAGTGCCGTATAGTCAGGGTTTTTGCTGCGGTTGCAGCCCGAAAGAGCCGATCGCGTACCCCATAAACGAAGAAAATCACGAAAAAGACATCCGATCTGCACTAAGATGGGAAACAAACAAATTTAATCTACCTGGGTACAATAAAAACGATTATGGTCGTAATGGGATCGACGGCAAAAGTGACGACATCAAAGGGTCCGATTTACCTGACGATGTCATTAACTATCCGAATATTGGCGAACGATTAATGTCTCGGAATGGCCGTAAGTACTGACCAGACCAATAAACAGCAATAATGTCGTATTTATTTTATTATCGTGGTATTGTTGTCCGCCAGACTGGGATTTTCTTGAACTGACCCAAAGGAATTTACTGACCGTGACATAATAAATAATTTTAATGTCACGTCAAACCTTTAGCAGCAATGTATAAACTGGTCAGCTTAAGAAAATTTCCGATTACACACTTTTCTTTTATTTAAAACTATCTAAATAATTGACTTAATTGACATTCAAAAAGTTTCTGGGCGATTTCGTCATTTTCAGTTTTTGCCTACTAGACGTATCTAGAGAACTGGGGAAGATATTGTTATTAACATTTGATGTCGACCATAAATCGCTGTGGTCTTCATTTTAAACATGTTCCGTGCCGTGCTTTTATATACTTTGCGCTACTCTTCTTGATATTAAGTGCGAATTTAGAGACTGGACTAACCAAAACTAACCTTTTTTAAGCATAAACACTGAGTCCTACCTCAAACTATCCTTCCAAAATTACTATTAGGAACCCGTGCCTCGTGCTCCTGTGTATGTGTTCTAAGTTAGTTGATTTTTAAAAATTCTCTATACCCGCTCGTTGTTTTTAGTACTATCTTAAATGTGTTTCCTCCATGGGTATTCGATGCATGACCCACATTTTAAACGCTTTAGTCTTCTCATCGTGTCCAGAGATGAGATCCGTTTAAAACGAGATTAGTCGGACAAACTATAACGGCAAAACAGGCGCTAGTTTCCTATATACGCAAATGTCGTTAAACGCTCTTAACGGAGCCACAAGCCCTGAAAGGAATGGATCTGAAAATGGCTTTTTATTAATATTTCCGTAACAGGTTGAGAGAATTTTTTTAAATTTTTGCTTTTTCGACATTTGTCAAATTTTGGTTAGAAGCGTAATTTTTGAGTGATACAGGTAACATAAACTGCAATAACTTTGTTATGGCTCGGTTGGTAAGGCGTTGACCTGCCAACTCGAACTTGCCGGAGGTTGTGGGTTCGATTGCCACCGGAGCCTTGAGTGTGTGCGTGCAACAATTGATATCGTTAAATTTCATCGGCGGTTGCCGGAGAATGGGTAAATATCCTAATTAAGCGCAAGTGCACCTTTTTCTTATAAAATCGTTAAAGCTGTGTTCTATTACACTTGGTTTATATCGCTATTCAGAGGAAAACGGATTTCAAAAAATACACTGTTTAGCATGCCCATCGTATTTATTCTTCAAAAATTAAAAAGTAAACCTTGAAACAATTCATAAGCTGGCTATTTTGTTGTCAGTTTGACATTAATGGTGTTTCTTCTTCACACTGTGTCTGATTTTTTTAATTGTTTTTTTTTTTTTAATTATGGAGCATTTTTGGAACATATAATTAACATATAATCATTTTATTTATTGCAACGGTAACACGCATGCCGCTGTTCAGAAATACGAAAGGCAGTTTCCATAAAGACGACAACCATATCAAATAGTATTTTCTAACGGGCAGAACGGGGATCGTTTGCTCGATCTCAGATGCAAGGAGGAAGGCCTATGGGAAATTATGACTATGAGGGACTGCTATATAGAATTGAGGAAAATCCTCAAATAATATTAAGATCCCGGCTGGGTATCACCAATATCCCTAAAACAATTATAACTCTACTAACATATTGATTCAATCTTTTCACATCTACATTTTTCTATAACTTACCATAAAAGGGAAAAGTTTTGCCGTTATTTTCCATTTTTCTGACGTAAATAAATGAATTTTTAGCTTGGTACAGAATTTAAAACGATTTTCGTACACCCTTCCCTTTAGGCAAAGTAGCTCCGTTACAGTTTGGGGCACTACTTTCGGAACACCCTGTATTGTTTATAAATCTTCCGTTTACTTTTATGCCTTTTTGTATATATATATATATATATATATATATATATATATATATATATATATATATATATATATATATATATATATATATATATATATATATATATATATACATATATTGAATAGAGTAGAAGAGTAGAGAGTATACAACACTGTCTTACATCCCTTCTAATTGGAATGCTAAGGGTTAATTTATTTCCAAATCTTACTGAGGCTGATGAGGGTGATGACGTTCTCGTCTAGTCCTTGCAGGTATAATTGGTCTATAATCTCTGTGTCTTACTTAAGTTATATTTAACAAATTTGGAATTTTACGTACAACTTGTAGAGTATTCTGTTTCTGTGTTCTGTTTCTATAAAAATTAGTTATGTGAAAAAAAGTTATCCAAATCAAATTTTGACAGGTATATTACAGAATATTCCTGAATGACGCGAGATACGAATTTTTCATTCAACCCAAGTCAAAATTTTTGCATTTTATAGGCAGAATGTTGCATGTTGTTACTCTATCACTATTTTTCATAATATCTCTAAATCTGCAAAATTAAAGCTATTTTACAAATATCCTGTATGTGATTGAGGAAGTTTCACATTACAATAATAAACCCCGACATCTATTATGTTTCGTTAAAGGTTAAAGAAATTTATATTATTGCATAGAATAGCAAAATAGAATAATCTACAGGAAGTTGCAATTTATAATTTCAAATTTCTTAAAATTTTTGGGTAGAACTGGCAACAATATATAAACTTGCGCGCATAGAAATCGGCCCACTGTAAATTTTATTATAAAATAAACATGCTATTTGGAAGGCAATTTAATATGCTTTAATACGAGTTTAAATTTGTCACGGTCAAAGAAATGAAACGTGTTCATGAACTAGCTATAGTGATAGTAATGGACTTGTTAGTAATAGTAATAGACTTAAATTAATCGCCTTTGCAACTGGAATTTTCACATTATTCGTTTTTAACCGTTTGGATAGCGTTTAATTGTGTTAGCTTGACTAGACGACAAAAAGCCGCTCAAGTAATCGCTTTTCGCAGTTCGAAGAGTATGCCAACGGTATGAGGAGACTGGAGCCTTTGCTATGTTCCCTAGAAAAGTCAGAAGGCTAATAGAAACGGCTCGTGATGACCGCTTTATTGTGTCAACAATAATAAAAAATGGTGACAAGTGGAAAGGGTGACTTGCAGAATGCTGCAATGAAGAGTGGAGCCCTTATGGAGGTGGTTCCTGCATGATATGGGGTGTAATTTCTATGGGCGCGCGAACTGACCCTGTTTTCATCCGTAGGGGCGGCCGTGGTCAACAGGCAGGAGGTTTAACAGGTACTAGGTACATTGAGGATATTTTATCAGATCACGTGGTACTATATGTTGACTACATTGGAGAAGAATTCATTCTTATGCATGATAATGCAGAAAAGGGTGTTCGAGTTATGAAGTGGCCAGCATGCAGTCGCGACCTCATTCCGATCGAACATTTATGGGATCAGCTAAAACGAAGAGTTATTGTTGCAGTAGAGGAAGAGTGGCTTAACATTCCATAATAAACCATAGCGAACTTGATTAGATCTATGCCTAATCGAGTAAGAGATGTTATTAGGGCAAGGCATTATTAAAAAATAAGTGTTGAGTTGTTAATTGTCAATAAACCTATTTGTTTTTAGTAATAGAAAAGTATTAGAAATAAATTTTAATCAATTTAAACTCGTATTAAAGCATATTAAACTGCCTTTCAAACAGTATATATTTTTATCTGATCAGTAGTTTCTAAAACAAATGAAATTGAAGCCAAAATGTATATGTATATGAAATAATTTCCTCCCTAATTTTTATTAAACTATGTGAACAGTTTATAAGAACTCCAAAATATGTTTGATAAACACCATTTCAGTCAGTTTCCTTTAGCATTTAGGTTAATAAACGAGTGATTGAAGAAGTTTATCAACGTGCTGTATACTGTACTTTACCTACTATTAGTTTTTGAGTACATTAAAATTACGGCTAAAATATACCGGAAACATCCAATAGCTCCCAAACCAGTCACTAAAATACCGGCAACGTCTGAAACCGCTACTGTGAGTTACGAAGCTTACGTCTTGAAGCGAAAAAAATGTGCAATTTTGATAAATGATAAAAATTTGTTTTATATAATTCTTTGACTTTTAAAATTAAAAATATTTTCCTGTTTCCCAGATTTTCCAAAATAAAAGTCTAATGAATTGCCTCAAAAATCTAGGGGTCTATAGGCAGACCATGGAAGGTGTCGTTTTGGATGGCTTTAGAAGACGTTAACAGACAATTTTGCTTAGTTATTTGTTAAAGAGTATTTATTATGGTTAGGCATAAATAAGTGTACTGTATTTGTTCATATTTGAAAAATGCCGAGTAGATTTTCGTCGCATTCAAAAAAGGGGATGGCAGGACTGTGACAACACTTACACACCGCCGAACTTGGACCAATCTTACCACCAAAGCGCCCACTGTCTGGAATTTGCTGACACTTGGTATTCGGTCTACAACTTAGGCGCACCCACCATGGACCATTCCCTCACCATCCAGATTTACGAGAAAATCTCTCTCGGCCACGGAAAGATCTTGTGGCGGGAAATAACAGAAGGAATGCCGATTCTTTTGGGAACATCCAAACGGCTATATTTCAGCCGAAAAGGTAAGCAAACACAATAATTGAAGATGTGATTGCATTTAAAACATTCAAGGGATTTTATCTTTTTTTATTTTATTTTTAAATAAATTCTTGAAAGATGAAAAGGTACAAATGAAACTAATATTTAGCAATAATAATTTTGCTAATAATAATAAGTATTCTGTATATAATATTAGTAGACTTGTGCAATCGTATTAGCTGGTAATAACAAAGTTGCGTGATATAATCGTTTCTCTCATATTGAGATATGTGATATGATTTGTTTTTGCTTCAGCAACTTATAGTAGACTTGCGGCATCAAAAATCGAAGGCAAGTTACAAGAAATCCTTGTGACCGTTTAGTTGAAACTAGTGTTGGGGCTGGTCAACTGATCGACAATTGACCACTCCTTAATTGACTACTTAAATTCCATCAAAAGTGCTATCAATCATTATTTAAAAATAATATGTATTTTATAATAAGTTATTATGCGTTTATGATGTCCAATTTACTAATAACCCTCTTCAAGGAATATATTTAGCGATTCGGGGAATCCCAATAATAATATCGACTCCATTTAATTCTTAGAAGGACCCGATGGCAAAGTAATGCACAATATAAATAAATATAAATTTGGTTGTATTTTTAAAATTATTTCGGTCAATTGCCGGTCATTTCCACAACCCAACGTGAAACAAAATCATTTCGTCAGAAAAGAAATAATGGGATCCAAAAACTATTACCGTCGAATGAAGAAGACGAATTTTTAATTCAATTGTCTATATACAGAATTCATACTCCAGTTCATCAGTTACCGCCTCAACATTTACATTTACGTATAAAATATATAATTGCAAATATTATCATTTGTGGGGATTCTGAGAATCCACATGCTGAAAAAGCAAAATATTTTCATATTTCATGGTGAAGAAGTTAATTTTCTTTGTAGTAGTTGCGGCATAAACTACAAGGAGCTGCGGATTAGAAATACTTGACAAGTTTTATTTAACATTCACAGACATTTAAGCTTATAAAATGTATTGACGTGGATGGTAGGCAATTCTATTTGATTTGAATATTATTTTTTAGCAAAATTATTATCGTTAAATATTGTTTTTTAATTGCTCAACGTACCTTTTCATTAAGTATTCGTAAAATAAAATCAGAAAAAATACCTCGAACTTCGGATTAATAAGTGGATATATTTTATAAATCGCTAGTTAGCGTTAGACTTAAAATATCAGATGATTTTGTTTGTGTTGTAATAGGAGAATATTTTTCCTTGACTACTTTACGTTGTAAATTTATGCGTTTTTTTTGTTTCTAATCTTGACTCTAAACGTAAATAATTTTTGGATTTTTTTGTTTCTAGTGCCCTTCTATCAGAAGAAATGTTAAATCTCATGATATGTCATAGGTACTGGAAATTTCTCTTTTTAATTATCATCTTTATGTTCACCCATTTACTGAGGAACCTCCATGTTTAAATCAGATCTATCTAGATATTCGCAGTATTCACCTACAATCGCACTTTTCTAACGACTCTTTTTGCGGTTGAATCTTTGGTCTCACTCTCTCATTTGCATATTTTGATATGTACTAGCAAAATATTTGGTGCGGAGTTCAAGGCTGAGGTTTCAAGTTGTTTACGGTTGCTCAATTCTTGATCTGATCTCGGGTTTTGTTGATTGACGATTACGCCCAGGTATTTTAGAGATGCATAATCAATAAAACATGCGAACATATCCCGCATTCATGTCTCTGCATCTTTGGGACAGCAAAGCGAAAAGAGTAACGACTAACAATTAGTTAAATTAAATTAAATTTTAATCAATATTTAGATTTCTCATTTGCTTGCTTGTTTATATTTTCTCAAATAGTAGTATATTTTCTCTCAATAGTATGAAATGCGGTTTTTTAGTTTTATTAAGACCTAAACTGCAGTTCAATTTTGTTTGTAAAGAAATTTCAGGCAGAACTAGTAATACCATCCGCTTATAATTAGCATATTCGTTCATTCCTTAGTCCAAAATCAACATATCTTGCAGGCAACTTGATGGCACGTTATTCATGGGATGGAAGCAGCAGAATGGAATTCTCCCTTGACCACAAGTCTCGGAAACTGTTGATACCCGAATCCGAAGTGCGGGACCCAGACACACCACGTCCAAAACAATCAGGCGACGACTCTGGAGAATACCTGGTCCTCCACGCTAACAGCATCGATCTGAGTGGACGTTCTTGCAACAAGGCGGGTCAGTTACTAAGACAGTTGTCAAAGACCTTCTGGGGCACAAGTGCACTAATCCTACAGGCGTCGGATTCGAAGCATTTGCAAAACAACCTCACAGATGCGAACGAGAAAGAAATTCCTGCCTTGCAAATCAGCCGCAACAGCTATGGCAGCAAGATCGGAAAGCGGAAGAGAGCGGCGAAAAGGGTCGCCACTTCCTTAAGTACTATGGTAGTCTTCCCGATAATCCTATAAGGAAAATATGTTGCAACGGCACCGCCGCAGACAATTGCGCCAAAACGCTCTACATGCATTACACCAAGTGCTTCACCCACACGATCCGAGTTGATTTCGTCGCCGAATCAAATGCCGTCTTGCAATTAGACGCGTTAGCCACCATCACGGGTAATATTTCACAGAAAAAAATACGTTTGTTAAGTGAAATAAATTTGACATTTACCTAAGTAATTAGGGCGGAACACATGTGTTTTTGACTGAAAATGAAAATATATTTGGACGATCTACTAAAAATTTGGTCACGCAAACACATATTAAATTAAACTAAAACTTGTATAAAGGTGAGACAATTGCATATTTTTCCTATTCAATTTGCTACTTGATTTAAATATAGTGTGACCAAGCGTAATTTAAATCCAAATTTTTGAAATATTTATAACAAATATATTATGCACGACTCAACTAACTGTCAAAGTTGTTCCAATCAAAATTCGTTTATTTCAGTAAACGAAAACTACCTGCTAAAAAGCTGTAACTATTTTTTTTGTTACTGACAAAATGTTGCACAACAACATTATTTCACTAAAATTGTGTTGTCTAAAACTTTTTTCCACGCTTTATATTTGTTGTTTGATTTACTGAAAAAAGTATACATTTTTATAAAAGTAACGGCACTAACTAACCAAGAAAAAGCTGCACATAATAATTTACCTTTATATGTTCCTGATTCTTAGGTTATTGTGTGCACTATAAGTGCTGCATACTAATATTAGATAATGTACCGTACATTCAATTTATCTTGATAGCATTTTAATTGGCTGTAACTTTTTAGATTTTTGAGATATTAAGTTAAACAAAAAAATAAAATGTAAGCTTAGTAGCCAGGTTTTTTTCCAAATGACGTATAAAACAAAACATTATGAATTTTCTGACATATCAGCCTACATTATATATGTGTTTAATAGAATATCTTATTCTGATTACAACGATTTAACATTTCACATTTAGTCCGCTCATTTTTGACAAATCGGCAAAAATAGGAATATTTTATATAATTGCAAAGGGTGCCCTGACTGACTGCAAAAACAATAATTATTTACAAATTAAAGTATAACAAAAACACTAAAAAATGACAAGACACTAAAGTAAAAAATTCTTTAGCTATTCTAAATACTGCTCTATGGGACCAACCATTTTGCCTGAACACATTCCTCATACACTCTAATTGTATGATGTCTTGCATTTCGTAACGTTTTCGGATTGTCTCTTAAGTGATTGATTGCCTCTGAAATCCTTTGCTCAAGTCCTACGACGTTATTACTATGCACGTGATTTTTTATGTCTTGGCTATCCAATCTATAGTTCCGCTCTTCCCTATATAACTCCTGGGATATTCCATGTTAATTGTGAGGTGGGGCACCGTCTTTCTACCATATAATCCGCTCTGATATATTTAGGGGTAAATCTTCTATATATTCTATTTCGTGCAATAAGAGTTGCAAATAATGATCTCCAGTTAACTTTTGATCTATAAATATCGGACCCAAAATATGCCCTTCTATGACACCACAACATACATTAATTGATTGGCACCCCTGGGTTTTTATTTCGTATATTTGTCTAGGATTATTTATCGCTTATTTTGTCTATTACAACCCTTTCTTGTAATGAACGAACTTTCATCAGTCCATAAGATACTTTTCAAAAAATTGTTATTCTCATTATGTCTATTTAAAAAATTATTATATTATATATATATATATATATATATATATATATATATATATATATATATATATATATATATATATATATATATATATATATATATATATATATATATATATATATATATATATATATATATATATATATATATATATATATATATATATATAATTATATTTATATTCTTTCAAAACTGAGTGGATTGATCCCCGACAAATACCTGTTCATATACTCTAGCAATAGAGAAAACTGGATGTGATTGATAGAATCCTAATATGTGTGGCCTTATTTTCTTCATTTAAAACATTATGATTCCGGCATACCATTTTATCATTTAATATGTTATCGTTTTCTGCAGCCTTGGAAATAACTGTTTTGAAGGAGCTCCACGCTCTGGATAAAGTCTAATATACTGACGAAATATATAATGTATAAATATAATGACAGAAAGTATCTTTGAAGCATATCACTCCTTTCACGGATACTAAATTCGTGAAAAACATGTTAACAATAATCACTTAGACAATAATTCAATCATCAACGTTGTTTAGTAATATGTCAAGCAATAGTATATTATGCAACAAGTGCGGTAAACTGCATTTGGCTCACAAGTTTATTTGACACAAGCGGAGCGAGTGTTTAATAAACGAGTGACTTAAAAAGTTTACCGAACCTGTTGCACACTATACTTTTTCTACGACCGTTACTTTTTGGGTATATTTTTGCAAAACAACACGAATACATTCACTGACATGACCGTGAGAATTGACAAACGTCAAAATTCAAAGCGTGGGAAATATCTACGAAAACATCCGATTGCTCCCAAACCCGTGCGGTAAAATTCCGGAAATATCCGAAGTGGCTCGGATCCGTGGGAAATGAAACTGACGTCGTAAAGTGATGCTTACCGCATGCTAGATCGGTATGTATTATTTTTCTACACCCATCTGTCAAATACCTATTTGCACACCGACCTAGCGTGCGGGAAGCGTCACTTTAACACGTCAGTTTTATTTCCCAGGGATACGAGTCACTTCGGACATTCCCGGGATTTTACCGAACGGGTTTGGGAGCAATCGGATGATTTCGGAGATGTTTCACACGCCTTGAATTTGACGTTTGTTAATTCTGACGGCCATGTCAGTGAATTTAATCGTAATGTTTTGCGAAAATGTACCCAAAAACTAACGGTCGTAGAAAAAGTATAGTTTGCAACACGTTCGGTAAACTTTTTTTCCTACTCCCGTCTGTAAAATACCTAATTACCCACCGATCTAGCGTGTGGGAGGCGTCACTTTACCACGTCAATTTTGTTTTCCACGAATCCGAACCACTTCGGATATTTCCAGGATTTTACCGCACGAATTTAGGAGCAATCGGATGTTTTCGGAGATATTTCCAACGCTTTGAATATTGACGTTTGTCAATTCTGACAGTGACATGTCAGTGAATATATACGTATTGTTTTGCGAAAATGCACCCAAAAACTAACGGTTGTAGAAAAAGTATAGTATGCAACACGTTCGGTAAACTTTTTAACTCGTTTATTAAAAACTCGCTCCGTTGCGCTCCGCTCGTGTCAAATAAACTCGTGAGTCAAATGCCGTTTACCGCACTTGTTGCATAATATACTATAAGTCACTAACATACTAATTTTCTACTCCCGTCTGTAAAATATCTAATTACACACCGATCTAGCGTGCGGGAAGCGTCACTTTACCACGCCTATTTCATTTCCCACGGATTCGAGCCACTTAGGGATTTTACAGCACGGGTTTGGGAGCAATCAGATATTTTCGGAGATATTTCCCACGCTTTGAATTTTAACGTTTGTCAATTCTGACGTTCATGTCAGTAAATGTATTCGTGTTGTTTTGCGTGAATGTACCCAAGAACTAACGGTCGTAGAACAAGTATAGTATACAACACCTTCGGTAAACTTTTTAAGTCACTCGTTTATTATACAATAGTCAGTCAAATACCGTTTACCGCACTTGTTACATAATATACTAATTTATTTGTCAGTCAGGCACTGTTTGAAATTATATAAAAATTTCTTATTTTTGCCAATTTGTCAAAAAAGAGTGGACTAAAATATAAAGCGTGTTACATTATTGTAATCGGAATAACACATATATAATATACAGAGTGTTCCATTTAAAAAAATATATGATGTAGGCTTATATTTCAGAAAATGATGGCGTTTTGTTTTATACGTCCCTTGGGAAAAACTTGGCTACTAACCCTACATTTTGTTTTTTTGTTTACCCGATATCTCTAAAAACACAAAAGTTACAGCCAATTAAAATGTTATCAAGATATATTGAATGCATGGTACATAATATTATGTACACCTTAAAATATAATATTCTTCTACTTCTTCTTATTATTAATAGGTATAGGACCTGTTTAATCCAGAGCATTCTTCATCTCTTCCTTGGTCTACTACGACTTCTCTTTCCTAAAGAGACGTTGTCGTGAAACTTTCTCACCAACCGGCCTTCATTCATTTTTAATATATGTGCGCTCTACTCTGGACTCCCCCTTTGGACTCATAAGCTAACTTTCTGAATCTTTTATTTAACTTAACTTTTTAATTTTTCATTCTTGGCCAGATCTTGTATTTTTGCGTATAGGCCCTGATGAAGTTTAAACAAACAAAAAAATAAAACATTAGCTAAGAATCAGATGTTTAATTTGTTATCTTAGATCCGACAACTTCTATTCTTCAATGTTTGCATCTTCCATTAAGTAAGCCCTATTTCAGTTTAAAAAACTGGGAGGGTTGAACCAAATTATTTACCACTATAAAAGCCTTGATTTAGTTTTGATTTTCCATAATGCAAAGCGACACCTCTCGAAGCTAGAACAGTGAGTGGACGACTGATGGACAAAATCGATTTTGGATTTGGAACGAGAAATATTTAAAAACATGTGTGATTGAAGCAAATAAATCTTGTTTGAGGAACACTTTTATTGGTATTTTAGGTATTTAATTTGGTCATGACTCTGAAACAACTGAAAAAAAAAACCTAAATCAAATATGATATTGTTGTTTTAAATATTTTGAAGAGTAATTAAAATGACTGAGTAGATATGATGGTATTTATTTGTTCTAACCATGTTTTTTTCTGTGTACCAAATGGAAAACATGAATGATTTTACTGAACTGTCCTTTCCAGAAGTCTACACCGAATTCTTGGACGCCAGAAAAATCACCCTCACGGCAAAAATCTTCAACTCCGGATTAATGAGCGGCGTGTTCTACATCGGTCTCCACGCCTGTCCGACTCAGTTACCGGCCAGTTTCAGCAACGGCGTTTCTTCGAAGCCCGCTTTGATTCCTCCACAACAGCAGCACATCTTCGCCCTAGATATCTATTGCGATATCCGGCCGAATGATTTCTTTTGCTCACTCGAAGTCATCACCGGCGGTGGGGAATTAACTGCCGTGAGACGAGTGAGGTTCAGAAAACTAGACAGGTGCGTCTGTGCGTGGCACTGTCGCTGCTCCTGTCTCGTATCCGATTACGGGTTGAAGTGTGGTCCGTTGGAGATCGGGCATTATCACGCAGCTGGTTTTCAAGGTAATTGTTCGAGAGTTGTCAAAAATATCGAAGAAAGTACTTGTTTTGTTTAATAACATTCGGTAGTATGAGAGAGAGAGCAACAGTTAAAGACGATGTTGCGCGAAAGGAGAACTGCCTGTTGTCACAAAAATATGAATATTTGGAGGAGCCGAACTTTGTGGGCATATAGATACGGCCATTTCGAATATATTTTATTAATTACGTCATGGTATTTCTTCGATTATTAGCAATGCCAAGTTCAGTTAAGCTCTGAAGAAGCCAAAAGGATGTTTGACGAATGTCAGAATGTTTGATTTACAAAAAAAAAAAACATTCAGGAGTAATCCAGAACATACGTAAAAAGTATTGCAGTAGCATGTGGAAGTTTCTTTGAAAAATTAATCAATATCTCCTCTCTATATCCTCTTACCTTCCAGTGGGTTGTTTTAGCCTGGTTCTGATCATTTTTTTTTGTGGGTTGAAGAACGGCAAGTAGGCGCTTGCTCAAATTGAGGGCCGTGGTTCGTTGAATCTACGTTATTTCTATTATTATTATTATTATTTTTAATTTATACGAACACTTCGTTGACTTTTCTTTTGTGGGCGCCAGGTAGTTTGCTAAGGCCCGATGATACTACAAATTAAGCTACCTCCAAAATAAAACTACCAAACTCTAAAGGTTATCACTTACGTTTATTAATCAACAGTTACTACCCGCAAGATCGTTTCGACAACTACAAATTTATTTGCTGGAAATATATAAACGAAAAAAATATAGATTGGAAGGCGGTAGTATGGCAACAAAAAAAAAAACAATAACACTAAATAGTAGGCACCAGCTCTGGGCAAACAGTAAATAAATAAAAAAATACAAGAGGATCCGAATATCACAAATTATTATCGCTAGTGGATACAACCACAGTTATCGCGCTAGCCCAGTGTTGGCTAAATGAAGAGCAGTAACCCGATAAATCCGGTAGTAATAGCAAAACCATTACGTGGTACTTATCCGAAATCCTTCCGGCGTGGACGGGCGGTTTTAGTATGGATGCCGCGGGTGGCGGACTCGCGTCGACATGAAAGGACGACTAACCACATTAACCCGGCCGACGGCAGGAATCAAACTTTTTTCCCGAACTGGTGTACCCTAGTTATGCTCAACCACTACCCCCTTACACCCAACCTAACCGTCTAAGAGGAAACAATAATCAGGAGGATCACGCGCGGGCCTCCAGCTGGGCCGTATAGTACAACAAAATGGCGCCTTACCTCCACAGCAGTTTCCCGAACCGATGGAGACGCCGCGAACCAGCAACACTCTTCAATGGCTAAACTAATGGCCAATTCTAGAAGTTATTTACGCAACTAACATTTCCTGACCATAGTAGATAACGTCTTTTACCTTCGAGAGGCACTAAGCCGCAATATACAAGCGAAACTTATGGATTTGCCCACTAAATTACCAGCGAGGGTTTGTCTTGCTTGTCGAGTTGCTACTTAACCCTAAACGATCTCAGCAGGACATGCGCGCGGAAATATCGCGATCCTTTACACGCGTCGGCACGCTTCCGTGTGCGTATTTTGTCGAACGATATTTTATACCTAGAAGTAGTCGACCCATTATATCCTATTAATCGTAAAGCTAATCCTATTCGAAATATATATATATATATATATATATATATATATATATATATATATATATATATATATATATATATATATATATATATATATATATATATACTGTCTTTAGAAGAGACGGAAGCTCCACTTCATCTCCTAACTAGGGGGCAGCCGTCCAACAGTACTAGAAGCTTAATTCATTCAGCGATCCAAATTTACAATGAAAGAGGTATTGTACTTCCTGGAGAATAGATAACTCTTCTAGAGGAGCGAGCGAAAATGTGCTGGAATAATGTAAGGACGGAATGGCTGTTAAGAGAGGGGCGAGGCGCACAGCAGATAGAATTGAAATATTGTTGCGGAAGTATTAGTAGATAATTATGGCCTTCATTAGAAAAATTATGTCGTTCATACCGAAATCAGAAAAACCATTGTTAGAAACATTAAAAAAAGGATCCCTAAGAAAAAATATTCAGTCCTCTAAATTCTTCAAAATTTAACAGCAATGGCATAAAAAAAAATCAGAAATATTTAGGCTAGTGACTAATAAAATATCTGCGATCATCTCTCTATTTATACGACCATAAGTTTGGCTAACTGTTCAAAAATCCTTAAGTGTTTACTGCAAATGGCAATAAGTGTTTGAATGTACAAAGAGTAACGATATTTATTATAAAATATCATTTACTATATACGAGGTGTTCCAACAGTGCGTCGGTGGTTCATATCTTGGAAACCGTTGGCGATAGAAAAAAAATAAATTAACAAAAGGTGCAAAGATTCTATGGTTAAACTTGAGTTTTGGTTAGTTTAGGTTAGCTATTTTTCAAAAAATATATGAATTGCAAATTTCAAAGCATCATATCTTTTCTTTAAAAGGAATGCCTTTTAGCTCAGGCTGTTCCTGACATCAAATGCTTCCGAGATTTTCACATTATATTGTTTTTACTACGTTGGTTTGAGTAGAATAAAATACTTATATGGCGAACTCTCTAATTAGTTATTCATAAATTCATAAGACGTTGTATATACTCTTTTTTCAGTCCTTATAAAAATACATACTATATTATATTATATTATAATCTATTACTTATTTAATCTTGTGGCTGAAGGCAAATAAGTTAGTTAAATCTGAAAGCAAGAGATGACCGTGATAATCCAAAAGATTATAGACAACGTTCAAATAGGCTTTGTGTCAATGTAGTGCTTGAAAAAATGCAAATAAAATATAAATTATCCACACAAATTAGAAAATCTTAATAAACACAAACAAATAGTTGCCTAGCAATCGGGGGTCATAAGTTCGCACTGCTATCACTATACTACCATTAATTGTTATTGGATTTCAAAAATTTACAAATCTTATTAATCGGTGTCGAGTTCAATACAACCTGAAGAGTAAAATTTTTTTATATTATTGTGATGCCATAGATTTTTAATTGGATAATTTTGGTTACAAAATTAAGTTTCTATTGATTTCTACTTGAAAGAATTGATACCTGATGACTGCGTTTTCGATATTAGATCACGCATAACTTTCTATTAATAATAAAAAAGTTTCCCATATGATTCCAACTTATCAAGACATAATGTATATAGGAGGAATGTCCGTACCAACTCAGATAGTCCATTACTCCCCTTACGATGATACATTATCGATATCATGGCACATAGTTCTCTACTGCTGTCTCACGCTCTTGTATATGGGTCTGATCAAGGCTCTGCTGGGTACATGCCTGACTCCAATAAGTCAATGGGGATTGGAAAACATGGTTGACCTGCCGAAAAAGTTGAACCGATATTACGAGCCACACTTGAGAGATCGAAAAGTGATATACGACGACGCAGGTTGGTCCAAAACACCAGGCACCAGAATTCTCGTATTAACATTGTCAATTTCAGGGTGGCCCGTTCACCCGCATACGAGAAGGCGGGTTCACAGTCTCCCAATACCAACCTCGTTTTGTTTGAATTTGGTGTTTTTCTTCGCGTTTCCTATAGTGGCCTTGTGGAACCTGTCTAAAGGATTGTTTAAGTCAAAATCGCCGAACGCATCTCGCTCGGACTTAGACATGTGCCAGTGTAAAGTCGATAGAATTAGTCAGTTAAAAAATGGTGGAGTCCAAAATAGCTTAGCCACAAAGGCGGTAAACATTAGTACGAGTAAAACATCGTGAATGAAATTTTGGATTTATCTCGGAGGTATGTTACAGTATGTTCGAAAGAAGCCATATTGAATCGACGGCTTTCTTGCGTATTCCTCATAGAGAAAACTAATAAAATTACACATTCTCTAGTGTTTTTTTACTGGAACACCCTATAAGTTTTTTTTCTTTTATGTTACAAACATAGAAAATGTATACAAATGTAATATTGAAAACTTACAATATAACGGGTGATTCAATAAGAGTTTCCACATTACAATCTAAAATATTTTTGAAACGCCACTGTATTTGTTTATTATCATATGAGATTTCTAACCTAACCTATACGACTGGACAAGGTGTAAAAATTGTACAAGTCTATTATGAAAATGGTCGATCAAGAAAAAATGCATTTCGGGCTCTACGTGAATTTTTCGGGGCGCAAAATCGACCTTCTGAGAGGCCAATTTGAATGTGGTTCAAAAATTTGAGCAAACTGTATCTGTAACTAACCTCAATATTAAGTTAAGTTCGTATGACGTATTCCAATCTCCGCCCATATAACTCAGGAGTTGAAACCTCGAGATCATCAACAGCGCCGCGCGTTTGCAGAATGGATACGAGAACAAGGGGTTCATTTTTCAACGAAAATCATCTTTAGCGATGAGGCACATTTGCACTTGGGGGGCATTGTAAACAAACACATTGCTCGTATTTGGGGATTAGAAAATCCAAAAGAGATTGTTCAAAAAGCAATGCATCCTCAATAATAATAATTAGCTTAGAATTAGAATAATTAGCTCTATTTTTTTCGAGGATAATGCGAAGAACGCTATTACGGTTAATGGTGTTCGCTATCGAAACATGATATCTGATTTTTTCTGGGAGCAGTTGGAAGGTTGTGGATTTGTGGTTCCAACAGGATGGAGCCACTTGTGACACATCCAGAGAAACGATGCAATTGCTGCGGGGCAAGTTTCCTGGTCGGATTATTTCACGTAACGGCGATATCAATTGGCCGCCGCGATCATGTGATCTTACTCTCCTAGATTTTTTTTTGGGTATCTAAAAAGCAGAGTGTATAGAAATAAACCAAACACCATTTCAGAGCTGAAACAGGAGATTAGACGCGAAATAGCCGGCATAGAACCTGAACTGTGTCAAAAAGTGATAAGAAATTTCAATAAACGAATTACGTCATGCCACATGAGTCGCGGGGGTCATTTGAATGACATCATCTTTCATACCTAATTGTAATACACTAATCTAAAATGGCAAATAAAAATGTTTGTATATTTTTATATTCTTACGAGTTTTTATTATTATTTTAATGTGCAAACCCTTATTGAATCAACCTTTACATAAAACATAAACCGCTCTGCGGGTATCTGCACTACATTATAGCTGAACGAAGATTATCACAGAAACTTATCATCGAAAGCTTTGAGTCGAAGAGGTGCAATCATCTGACTATCTATAGTTATTGATAACTTAAAAAAGAAAAAACTCCTCCAAAAGTCTTTGACTAAGTTTTTGAACCCGATTATTGGGAGTTTTTCTGTCTCGGGCTTAAGTATGGGCTTAAAAATGGATGCAGCAGAAATTTGAACCTAGTCTACTCGCATTAACACCGAAGAAATCAGGTCCGAGGTTGTCCCTATTCCATGTTTTGAAGGGGTCGACTCGACACTGCGTGATTTGTGATTATTCTAATTACCCTACGCTGTAGGCCGAAGACTCTTGCTGCGCCTGGGTCCAGTTTATCAGAGCGTAAAGCAAGTAGGAGTCAATTAGCGCATGATATGCTGTCAATAATATGTTACAATCTACAGTACCCTTTAGCCTAGGTATTGGAAAAATGTTTTTTCAGTGTGGTGACACCGATTTAGTTTAGGGTCTAAATGAATTCCCAAAAATTTTGCACTTTGTCCATTATTTAATTCGTTGATCCGTTGAAGATTAAAGAAACTGTTTTCCCTTCGTTAAGGGTTAAGCTATTTTTAGTAAGCCAGTCCTTAGATCTTGTTAATTGCAATTAGGTTTCTTCTTAGCTTTTAAAAATATATAACCACATGATACCTATTTTAAATACAAAGAATTTAATTTTATATATTTTTGAATAGGTCATGGAAAATATAGACTTTGTACATTTCTAAATTTATACCTAACAAAAACTTAGTTAGTTAGTTAGGGTGTGTGCAAAACTAAATGCGCATTGAGAGTAAATCCTTATTCCAATTTTCTATAATTGTCAAATAATATAATGATGATTAAGACATATTTTAGAAGAAAACTGACTACTACACTGTATCCTAGGTAAAAAAAGCTCTAGCCAGGCCAGCTTTCACTTTTTCGATAAGTTAAAGATAAGTAACGCAACTAACCAAACTACAAAGGGTGTTTGAAAAAAGCAACAAAAGCAAAAAAATCACCTGTATCAAAAAATCCAAGATAGCTATGATATTTCTGTTTCCGCAACCTTTTATTTTATAAAAAAGTAGCGGTGGGTCACGAAAATGCTCAACACACTAGCTTTATTAATAAAGGAGATACGCCGTAACGCTATAAAAAATGGGACAGACTGTAAATTTGAAATACATCATTGCACCAATGAATTACAAAAACAATTTATCAAGCTTTAGATAAATTAAAACATTTTATATTTTTCAATTTTTTCATTCAGCTTACTATGCCTCGTCGCTTATAACCGCAGTGCTCTAAAAAATAGAGTTCTGTAGATATATATGTTCCGCCCAATCCGGCAAATAAAAATCCAATTTAGCTAAACGACGACACAAGCAGAACCGTTCCGGCTTTAAAGTCAAAACAAGCGCCCGCGTTACGTAGAAAAAATATGAAATATGGCCCTTTTTCGCTTAAGCTTTTAAAAACGATCGCGGGCCGTACACCAAAAGCATTTTGATCTTCATATTAATTTATACCATGTTTGTGGATGACGTTTTTGAATATACGACGCCGACCAAGCGAAATCGCTAGGAAAAAATGTTTCCAGATTTGTTTTAATTGAAAATAAAGTCTAAATAAAGAAAAATGTTCACAGTTTCTGTGGTAGAACCTTTAACATTTTTTATCCTATTTTTCTGATGACTATTTCTTAAAACTTTTCTTATAATATTGAAAATAAAGAATTAGAATTTGGTTATCTATTATTAGATCATACTATACCCAAGGCCGCTGTCTACTAACGGATGAAGTGTGTTCATAATGTTAATGACAAAATAAATTCAGATATAAGGGCAATTTTTCTGGATTTGAAAGTACATTCCCGTTCTGTCGTGAAGATAATTGGTCACGCACGTCACTAAAGAACCTCACACTCCAGCATATCGTAGAATATGAATCACCGGTAAAACGCTTCTTCAACCTTGCTCAATAACATTCAAAAATCGGCTTGACAAATTTGTTGAAAAATTCAATGTAGTGAATTACACCCTCACGTAATTTTTGACTTTTTGTAACCCTTCGTGACAAACGTAGGATAAACCAAAACTAGATATAAAGCTTTTTCATAAAATGACTAAGAAGCCGAATAAAAGGAGTAACAATATGCTCGAAAGTTTTAAAGTCGATGCGAAATTATATTCAATAATTAAGCAGCCAAAAGCTCGCGCCGCTCCGCGCCCCGGAGATTACGTTCCGGAATACGGGGGAGAAATTGCCCTGGCTTGCACAATCACGCCCTTTTATTCCCTTGTTATATTCATAACCGTTTCCGGGCAATGCAAATTATTTGCCGCCAAGTCGTTCGCTTCCGAGATTTACGAGCTAAATATTTACTGCTATCGGTATAGCACTACAATTTCACAGAGTTGTCTCGAACAGTTGTGGACATATTTTTTTATCTAGAATGTTTCCCTGCCAATCCGTAAAACGTCTATCAAATTTGTAATATGATAATGTAACTTTCAGGCATGTTCAACTGAAGTCCAGGCTACCATGAACATAAGCCAAAATAAATCCGACTCATCAGTATCCGCACCACGTCGGTACTGCTTAAATGTTTGTCACATTTACAGCTGTATTGCAATATATTTTGCTCCTTATCCTTAAACAGTGAGAAACGTGTGGAATATAAAACACAAAAGAAAAATGAAAATAAAGAAACATGACCAGAGTTGACCTATTGATCTTAATCCTTGCCGGTATCGTAATCGGAGACGGAGACAAAATCACGATCAGACAATTAATACGAAATCTTAAATTAAATCAAAATAATTTTGGAATTTTAGAAATCAAAACTCAATCTCGACAAACATTATAGCGAAATCTAACTCTACTATTCAACAAATAAATCAAAACGAAAAACTGATCAATAGAAAATTAAATCAGGTTAGTCTTATTGTTCAAAAAAACAACGTATCGAGAAAATATGTATTTTATTAAAGATATTGTTAACGGAATGTTGTCAATGTTGACAAAATAATTGATTTGATATTGCAATATATTGAAAATTCAGTAACGTTTTCCAAATTAAGAATATTGCATTCTAGTAAGGTCGTTTAACTTTTTAATGAACCAAAACGAATAAATTATTGGTTGAAATAGAATGCTCTTGCCAATTAGCTTGGAAATTATAATACATCAATCCGAATGAGTTTGAATATTTTCATTTGTATTCTGTCCCTGTTAAACATGAGAGTCTCTTTAACGTTCTTATACCACGTAATAAATATTTAATCAAAAATCAATTACACTACATATACCGAAGAAGTGCTCTGTAAAGAAATGTCGACGTTAATGTACCTATGTCCGCAAGGAAATGTTAAAGAACTTGCAACGAACAGTCCTTGCGAAGTTCAGTTACTGCAATCACCAAAACCTACTTCCTGCGAATAGATCTACGTCACTGTTAGTAGACCAATAATAAACCGACTGAATAATTCCAACATATGGCTATTTATTTTGACCAAAAGCAAGTTCGCAAAGTTAAACTGTGAAGGCCAAGAAAAAAATCAGTTACTTGCTAACCTTGTCAACCGGATGACAACTATTATGAACTTACCAAAGCTCAACCAATTATTTTTTCCGATTTTGATTATACGCCCCCGAATCTTCCTGTTCTTAACTTAAGTTTTCATCTACAAGAAATT